GTTTTTAGCAGTTAATCAGATGGACTTTATACATTTAAAACTGCTTTTATGTAAGAAGAAGTGCCTCTTCTTTGAGATGTGTAATGCTGATACATATTGAGCAGCTCTACATGGCCTGTCTCTTCTCCTGTAGAAGTTTTTTTTTTCTTTTTTGACAGTAATTTAGCTTTGTGATATCTGAAATCCCAGAAGGGAACTTGTTATAATAAATGCACCTTATTTTCATTAAATGTTTTACACTGTAAGCGGAGCTATATCTCTGTCTCAACCTCACATCCCAAACAGTGGCCACACATTGCATTTTCTTTATCATTTTTCCCTTAAAAACCAGTGACTGTATACACTAAAACTGCACACCTGTGAAAAAGGTTAAAAAACAAAGTTAAATGAAGGCAAAATACTCGTAAGATAGACTACTGCAACCTGTAAATGTCATAACATCTACTTTATTTACCCATAAGCGGCAAAATACACAACCAGATAGACAAAATCAATGTGTATAGATCATTTTTCTCCTTCACATAACACCTATGTTACGTAAGTGTGCGTCTGAGAGGCTCGCTGGTTGAAGGAGAGCGTGGGTTCTGCGTCTGGTGTGAGAATGGCATCTGTCTTTGGGAAGCAGACATGTATTCCTTTTTTGTGACTGTTGTATTTTTGTCCCTCCACTCCTTTCATGTCATCCGATTGGCTCGTGTGTAACGGCAGGCTCCTGCGCACTCACACTTCGAACCCCCCTCCAACTTTCTCTCCGGTGAACCCATCGCTGAAAGGAGTTTCCACGGCGCGCAAGAGGATGGAAACCGTGCGTCTTTCGGAGTCCCGGCGCTGAAGTGGGAGAGGAGAAGTGGAGTTTTGTTTCAAATGCGCAACTGGGTGCCTTATTTTTTTTTTTGGATCGTAGGTGACACTTTGACTCATCTTGGGTATCCAGAGACGTAGATAGAGCGAGCAGGCTTCACCAAAACCGGCGCGTAAAATCGGCGCTAATGGATAGATCGACTCCTGCTGGCATCAAACCTGCAACCTTTCAGTGGCAACACGGTCTCTCCAGCCAATAAGCCGGCTCTGCCACCCTGAGTCCTCCCACTCCAACAACCTGTACCACACTGACAGCATGGATAACCGAACGTTTCACCTCGCGCAAATCCATCTCACAACTTTTCTGGAGGAATAGCCTGATTTGGTGTGAAAGTCAGTTGATCCATTAGTCCCATTATGACTTCAGGCTTTACATGTGTTCCTTCCGTACATTGTGTGGCTTAGCGTTGCTTTTGACACGTTTCTGTGAGGATTTCAGAGCCTCGGAACACTTAAAAGAGTTGTAGCGTAAATCTCGTCGGCTCTCATGGGACTGAGGCATTCGTCGCGTTGTTTGCTGCTACGGCGGAAGATGGCGGAGGCGGACAGCTCGGAGGTAGGGACCTTGTGGTGTCCTGCGCCCGGTTTTTAGCGGGATCACGGCACTCTGAGTCTGATTATTTATACGCTGACAACACATTTGACTTGAATATCATACATATCTTTATTTTATTTTTGTTGCTTTGCCGTTGTCGCAGCCACCTTGAGAATCGGTGTTGCACTGATGGCGCGCAGGCGGAGCAAAGTGCATTTCCCAGCGTCCTGCAGATGTTGCATCTGAATTAAGGAGACTCGTGGAATTGCAATAAAAGCGATAATGCGCGCAGAAGGTTTGCGTTGAGGTGAAATGTTCTGCTGTGGACGGACCGTTCATGTCCACTGTCCTTGGTGCTGAAACGGAACCTGCAGCTTTTACCTCTTGAGCCGGTTCTTTCATCAGAGTATCATCACCGCAGCCGGTCTTTGTCTGTTTTATGACCAGGGTTGTGTGATTTTATGCTTTTCTGACTGCTATTATAGGGTTTGCATTGAATTCTGTTTCTGTAAGCCCCATGTAAGGGTGAAGGCACGTCCACGAATTCACAACGACTCGTGCAGTCCTGCAGGGGAAACTGGTGTAAGACAGCCCCCTTAAGAATAATTAAGGGGGATTTAAAATAGAAAGCAATGTCTTCTTTCTATTTTAAATCCCACTTTAAAATAAAACTTGGTTTGAAATGCATGATGCCACAGATGACAAGACAGAATATATATATATATATATTAGTGATGCACAATATAAAAATTTCTGGCTGATACCGATATCCGATATTAAGATGACTGATATCGCGATAACCGATATTACCGATGTCGATATTTAATTTTTGTTCACACCGAAAAATGAATATAAGTAAGCACTGTGAGAAACTATTCAAAAGAAGCCCATACCAAATTAGACCACATAGTATTCTTTATTATGTAACAAAAATAAAATATATTTAAACATATTTTAACATATTTAATGTTCAAGTCCAGGACCATTTAAGTAAAAACATGTGTGAAATAGCAGTAATATCAAATGTAGAGATGAAGGCGCTAATGTTAGACAATTATCGGTTTTTCACATCAACTAAATTTGTTCAACGGACCGATATCAATATATGGGAAAAAAAACACTAATATCGGCCGATACCGATGTGGTCGGCGATATATCGTGCATCCCTACTATATATATAATTTTTTTTTCTCTCTCTAAAACTAAAATAAAAATGCATCATACAAACGGTCTTCTTTTCTGTCTTAGAGACATAAGTTAAAATTCTCATTTCTGTTTCTATGGTAAGAAAAAAAGGTTCAATTTAGCCAACTGTGCACCAAAAGTTTTTGTGCGCTGACAAATTCTCAACCACTGAGTTATTCCACACCCCAGTTGTCATGATCACACAGTGTGAACAGCACTTCTCAGACCAGTGGCTATTAAAGACCACCTTTAAAATGCAGCGTTGTTTAAAATGCATGACGCCCCACATGACAAGAGAAAAAAACAGATGAGGCTTTTAGCAATGCTGGCAAGTCAGTTAGAGTCGTATCAAGACACTTGAATGTCCACAACGCCACCGATTCTAGTCAAGAAACCGTTTCAGACAGAATGTTGTGACACACAGTCTGGATGTACCTGACAGTGTGATGCTGTCCCCTAAAATGTCCTCCAACTTCATGAAGCCCTTTAGGAAAAGTGGGACAACGTTCCACAAGCAGCATCAACAACCTTATTAACTCTGTACGTCTTAGATGTGTGACTCGGTACTTACATGTGATTTCTGATCTATAATCCCTCTGTCGACTTGCCCATTATTATTTCCAACCCACTGCATCCTTGGTTGTTTCATGACGTCCATTGTGTTGTAGAGCTGCAGTGTGTCAACAACTTTTTGTTCCTCTATATAAAAAACAATGGATAGAATGTAATAAAACATTACATGATA